GGGGCTGATAACTTATGTGCAAATATTATATACACCTGTACCCTGAGGCTTAACATTTCCACTGCTAAGAATTATCATACGGATATACTTATACATAGCAACAAATATTATATATAAGCTTCATAAGGACAAGGACCATGTGGCTCTAACTTACTTTTGCATTATGAGGATCTCATATGAGGCTGGCATGTAGGTACTTAATAAATACTTGGTGTATGAAACGTGCTCATTTCAGTACTATTTGTAATGAAGAATCTGAAAAATTTATCTCATGGTAAGATACTATTGAGCTATTAAAAGAGAAAAAGTAAATGGCTATATGCTTTTATGGATATATTATATTAGTAAGGGGAGAATAGCAAGCTGTACAGTATTGCCTGAGCGTACTCCTATCTGTGTGCATAAAAGAGCACACATACACAGAAGCATGCTTGGATAGGTATAGGAACTTTCTGGAAGGGCAATGAAATGGAAAGTTGCAGTCGGGGTGCAGCGTATACATCTGGCAGCGATGTTTGAATTTTACCAGGTGCATTTATTACTCTTACTGCTATTTCTCCTACAAACAGGCATGTTCATACTGCTGTCCAGTAAACATTCTAGAAAGACCATCACTACAGCATTCAGAGCTTAGAGACTCTCTTCTAGATTAAATGGCAGTGATGAGAGATGCCTGGAAGTGGTGCTTTCACAGCTAGGGTGCCAGGAGCAAGTCACAAAAAGCTCTACTTGGAGTTTGACTCTGTTTTCATAGGTTACATCATAAAACATGCTGACTTTAGTATATTTATTTATTTGAAGTGTGGGGCTCTGAGGATGTGGTGAGAAGAGGGTGTGGCTGAGAAGCATGGAGGGTAGAAGCCTCGCAGTCTCTGGCAGAAATCTTTCCCTTTGTATGGGCATGTGGTATTTTTTTTATTATTAGATCATAACTCTATATGTACATTACTGCATTTATGGGGTACAATGTGCTGATTTTATCTGTAATTTGGAATGTTTATATCAAACTGGTTAACACATCATTCACCTCGTATTAATGAAGGCGGAATTCCTTCACCATCTACTCAACTTCCTCCATTGCACTCAACCAACTGCAATTTCCAGAATGTGTAACTTTTTCTTACACCTTTGAATAAATTGTCTCTTCTAGAAACTTCTCAATTCCACTATCTCCTTCTTCACTCCCTTCCCCCTTCTCTGGACCCCACTTACTCACCCTTCCTGTCTCAGCTCCTATTGTCGGTGCCCGCTGTGGCGCCCCATCACCCCAAGAATAAAAACAGCTGGGACACAGATCGAAGGTACATGCCCGCACAAGGTGGGCTTCCCAAAGGTGCAGGAAGAGCCCTGAGTAACCTCTGCCGTGGCCTTTTATTGAAGCATTATACAACAGGTGTGAGGGCCCTGCGTACTGGACCTACATGCTTAATGATTGCTACGTGCTTTTTCTCCATGGGCTGGACTCCCACCCTGTAGCACCACAAATGTCCAAAGTATAACACCTACTTGCTAATGATCTTATCTCATTAGCACATGCAGTTACTTCAGGGCTTGTCTCTGGGCAGCGAAACTTCCCCATGCCAGCTGGGAGATTGTCCCACTCCCAGCGCCTTCTTCAAGAACTTATGGCTGCTTCTATAAGCCTGGTGCTTAGTCTCCTTCACCTATAACACTCCCTTATGCATTCATAAGATTGGGATTATCAGTTTGTTTTGTTCCCCCAGAGGCTGAAAGCTTGTTGAGATACAGTTGTGGTCTTTGTCTGTTACTATATCCCTGGTTCCTACCACAGTGTCTACACTATTGAAGACATTCTGTAAATGTTGAATGACTGAATGCAAGAAGAGTCACCAGCTGACATGACAAGGAAATATCTATTTTATCACAACTCACTTCTAAAGGCTTTGCAATTAGGATATGTGTTTGTTATTAAATTATCCAATTAGAAGGTAAAATTGAACCCATGAAGGGTACTTGAGGTAATCTGACATGGCAAATAATTTTGGCACCTATTTTTGTTTATATACAAATGGATATATCTAGAATTGGTCATACTTTCCATCCAAGTGCTACACCTCATTTCTTCCATTTAGGCTCAGCTATTTGGGGAATATTAATTAAATATTCTAAGCTGTCTTTTCACTTGGAGTTTTTAAAATTTCAGATTAATATGAGGGTACTGATGATCAGGTTACATTTTTTGCATTTGTTAGGTGAAGTCCAAGTTGTAGTTGAGTCCTTCGCCCAGGGGTGTTCTATATACCCCTACATTGTGGCCATTAGGTGAGAGTTTATCAATCCCGTTCCCTCCTCTCTTCCCCCTCCTCCCCCCTCCCCATCTGTTCATTAAAGTTTTTCTTAACTCCTCTAATTTATTACATTATTTTTGTTTTTTAAATTAAAAGTTCACCTTGATTCCATATAAGGACTAAGCATAAGAGAAGTGGTACCTGGGATTATTTAATAGTCTCTTTCATATCTAAAGTGCTGAAAAATATTTTCTGTATTTAAAAACTAACTAGACTTGTTTGATTTCTCCATTCAAGGCATGCTCCTTGCTGGGTTTCTCATCAGAAATATCCCAATTATCAGTGATAATGTACAGATCAAACATAAGTGGTCTTCCTCTTTGAGAAGCATAGCCTTGTCTATCATACTGGTTCGCGCTGGCCTTGGTCTAGATTCAAAGGTATGAAGTGTTAGTTTCTAATTATTGAACAGGAATTGTGTTCCTTCAATATTCCAAAGATTTAGGATTGCTGAGATTTAGGAAATGGATGTGGATGCTTTGCATGACGTTCTCCAGAAGAAAATAGACTTTATTTCATGAAGGATTGTTTTGCATATAGAACCTGGGGCTTCACAAGACCTCAGAAGATGTTCCTGTACTTTTTCTTGGAGAAAGGTGGAGTCTATGGTGACAGTATGGAGAACAAAGGCCCCCCCTTTTTCTCTGACAGATATATAGTCTACGATTAGTGAATAACAGTCACAAAGAGGAAAACAATATATTTTTGGTGTGCAAAGCCCTGTTTATGGCTAACTATACTGGCTTAAGAAACTGTCCAGTATTTAGAAGGAGTCTCAAATATGAATTTTTAAATGTTTTTTTGTATGTATGTTTCTTAACACAGGGATGACTGTTCTTGCAGGATGAGGTTCTTTCACAAATTATAAACTAATAAATACTGAGAGGATTATATCAGCTAGTGTGGGGATTATGAGCACCGACTCTGGAAGCAGTCTGCCTGAGTTCAGACCTGGCCCCACCACTCACCAGTTTAATTATCTTGGGCAAATGACTTTAACCTGTGCCTTTTCAGATGCAGACATCTTAAAATGGGGATAATAATACTACCTTTCTCAAAGGGCTGGTATGAGGGCTAAATAAGCTGTCTCTAAAGTACTTGGAATGCTGAAACATTTGATAAATAAAGCTCATTACTTGGAAAATTCATGATGACCCAGACATGGTTGAATGCTAATGGGATGGCAGGGAAGGTGGTCTTCCCTATACATCTTCAGAGGGCGAGGTTATTCTGTCTGTTTTTATGTTGCAGGCCCTGAAGAAATTGAAGGGTGTGTGTGTCAGGCTGTCCATGGGTCCCTGTGTCGTGGAGGCGTGCGTGGCTGCTCTTCTTGCCCACTTCCTAATGGGCTTACCGTGGCAGTGGGGATTTATACTGGGGTAATGGCTGTTTCTTTATTACATAAAAATATGCTGAGATGTTTAGGACTTTCACTGATTCCAAGAGAATGCATAATAAAGAAGAATTAAGAATTCTTCTTAAGGACAGTGAAATTAAAATTAAAATTCTGAAATTAAAATTCCATTAAGAATTTTCTTAAGGACACCAGACAGTGCAACCTAGATACTCCAGCATAATCTAAGTATTCAAACTTTAAAAGTCTGCAACTTTGTAGGTCCTTACTGCAAAAGTTAGCACCTACTATTCAAACTAGTAAAATGAGGGTCTTTTGCCTGCACCTGATTCCATGCCTGTGCGGGAGGTGCCTGATGTCACTTCAGAGTCTGCACAAGGAATAATCAACATAGCAGTTCTGTCAACAGCTATCTTTGTTTGCTTCTCGTCACCAGATTACTGTGACTCAGTGATTTTGATGTCTCTTTCTTCCACTCTCAGTTTTTCACTTCCAGTGGTTAAGAGACATGAGAAATAAATAAGTACAAGACTTAGTAAGAATTTAGTGCTAATAAGTAGCAAGAAGCATGAAATTCTTGCTTCTCGGTGAGACACAGTAGGGCAGGATTGTAGTCCCAGCTACTTAAGAGGCGACTTAAGAGGTGAGAGGATCCCTTAGGCAGGAGTTCAGGACCATGGTGAGTCACGATCATGCTTGTGAATAGCCACTACACCTCAGCCTATGCAACATAACAAGACTTCATCTCTTAAAAAAAGAAAAAGAAAGAAAGAAAAAAAAATTCTTACTTCTCATGGTTAAGATTCTGGAGCGCTGCTGCCTGAAATCAAATCCCAGTTCTATAATTTTCCACTATGCAATCTTTGACAGGTTATTTAATCTCTCTATGCTTAATTTCGTCGTTTATAAAATGAAGGTAGATTGCATCTGTCTCATAAAGTTGTAAAGATCATATTAATTAAAGCATGTAAAGTGCTCAAAATGGGGTTTGTACACGGTAAGCACTATGAAATGTTTCCACTGTTTGAACGGCTGCTACTGTCAGTGTCACTGTCCTTGTCATTATGGAGCTTCTCCTTCCAATCTGTTGTCTGAGTCTATACACAAGCCCTGAGAGAAGGCCACACATCACTAGATTCTGATCCAGAAAGTCCATGGCAACGTTTTTTTAAATCTCATAACATGAATGTTGTGTTTAAAAAAGGGGAGTGTCCGGGGGGGGCTTAACCCCCTTAATTCTTCCTTACCACTCATAAATATATATCCTTAGGCAACCTAAGTGGTTCCAGAGCAGGCTGTCCCTACCACACTTTGAAAACAGCAGTTGTGTAGAACTTTGTGTGTATATGTGTTTCTGGTTTGGTGCTTTTCTGCTATTTGAAAGACTGTAGTTATCCAAAGTGTAACATTTAAAATAGTGGAGCTTATTATAAGTTCAAAAAAATAATGATAATGAGTAAAATATTACCATAAATGTTTAAAGTGCCGCCTGCGTAGTTTTGTTTTAGGTGCCGTATCTCCAGCTGTTGTGGTGCCCTCAATGCTCCTTTTGCAGGGAGGAGGTTATGGAGTTGAAAAGGGCATCCCCACCTTGCTTATGGCTGCCGGCAGCTTTGATGACATTCTGGCCATCACAGGCTTCAATACCTGCTTGGGCATGGCCTTTTCCACAGGTAAGCTAATCAGCTCACAACACGCTGTTCTCTCGTGCTCTGCAGACGTAGGTTCAAATCTTACAAGTGTGGCATGTCTGCTTGATAATTGATTAAGGCAAATTAAAAATAGGGAGACAACATCCAGGGTTCTGTACCTAAGGAGGAACTAGAAGCTACCTCTCTTTACTTTCTTCGTCCCTCTGGATAAAGACTGCTCGAGTAGCATGTGGGAAGTGAGGATAAAAGTGTAGATAAAAATAAGGCTTAAAGAAGGAGAACATCTTCTGCTTGGAGTGATCTGGGTAAGTTTAGTCCTGGAGACTTAAAGGATCAGCAGGTTTTTCAGTGAGCACAAATGACACAGAGCAGTCCAAGTGGAAAGAACAGCATGTTTTAAAAATGGAAACAGTTTCTGTTCTCTTATCTTTAGTTTTTTTTTAGGATACATTAAAATTTGGTTTAATACTTCTTTGGGGGAAAAAATATCACACTTTTAGTGAATGAACAAGAAACATTTTTACAGGAGCAGTAGGCTATTATTTTTAACTACCATGCCATGAATTCATAGGGAAGAGGTTCCAGTAGCTCAGGGAGGTACCTTGCCATTAAATATGACAAAGCATTGATTAACTTTTGAATTCATGGGAAATAGGGTCCAGCACCTTTATCACTGTTACATGGGGTCTACTGGTCATCCTGTGTGCTATGTTGTACACTTATTATGCCATGAGCTCATGGGAAATAAGTAGGTTCTTGCACCTAAAAGCATGGGTCCACTGGTACTCCTGTGTGCTATGTTATATACTTATTATGCCATGAATTCATAGGGAATGGGTTCCAGGAGCTCAGGCTCCTTTCTATTGGTTCTCACAAAGTGGGCTTCTCTGGGTGGAGCAGGCTGGCACTTCAGTTGAACCCAGGTACCTTTCTCTTTGTATTCTTTATTATTATTATTTTGCAGGTTTTGGCCAAGGCTGGGTCTGAACCCGCCACCTCTGGCATTTGGGGCTGGTGCCCTTCTCCTTTGAGCCACAGGCACCGCCCCCTTTCTCTTTGGCTTCCTTCTTTTTCTGATCATTTTTCTTCACAAATTTCAGGAAGCTATCTCGGCTCTTAGAGTGCTTAATATGCTCAATACGAACATTAATCCTCTTGGCAAGAATCTTGCCCTTAACTTGTTTGTTTATAACAATGCCAACAGCATGCTGGGTAACTTCGTAGACTCTTCCAGTTTTGCCGTGGTAACATTTGTGTGGCCTGCCTTTGTGAACAGTACCCATTCCCTTGATGTCTACAATATCACCTTTCTTGTAGTTTCACATATATGTGGCCAAAGGAACAACTGCATGTTTTCTAAAAGGCCTAGAGAACATGTATCGGGGGCCTTTCGTTTTTCCCTTTGTGTTTGCCATTTTAGTGAATTACTGAGAGACGGCATCTCCGGCTGAAAGGCTCATCTTTAATATTTTAAGGGTAATAACAGCAAAGACTTTAATGGGTGCCATTCATACGTAGTGTATTAAATAGATGTATTCTGTTCCAAGTCATAATAAAAGAGGAACTCAGGATGTTTTTTATCTCCCACTTTTATTCAGCACCTCTGTTAAACTGATAAGAACAGATTACACTTGATCTTAGCCAAAAGACCAGGAAGTGATTCAATACTTTTATTATCCTTCGGTACAGCTCAAGTTTAAGTTCATTCCTTAATCTTATGTCCAAAATTGGCAATAAAACTTCCAAATGCATAGCACTGATAAAGTATAATTGTCACCCGAGTTTAACTTCAGATTGTGTAGTGGGAGCACACCTTCTTGGAAAATTATGTATTCTCATTCTCTCCAGCCCCTACAGTTATATTCTCACTTTATGAACATGTGTGATTTATCAATCACCTAGAAACCCACACTTTCCCCTTGCTCCAGGGTCTGGTTTCTATCCAGTCCTTGGTGAATTATTCTTCTCAAAACACTGTTTCCATAATGCTACTTTCTTGTTCAAGAGGCCATGAGGATTCACTGTTACCTATTAAGTCCAACCTGTGCTCTGTCTTTAACTCTACTGTACCTATCCAAACTTACATTCTTACCATTGTCTCATGTAAACCTTTAAAACTATGGTCCTCAGCCTTAGCTGCACACAAGAATTACCTAGGGGGGGGTTAGAAAGTACTGTTATGTGGGTCCTACCTTAGAGCAGCTAAACCAGAACTTGTGAGAACGCAACCCTGTACAGCCTGAATTAGGAACCACAGCTTTACAGCAGCAGAGTTTGCATTAGAATCATGGTGGAGGGAAGGGGAAGGCCACAGGTAGTTGGAGTTTCATGATCTGGAGGGTGGGGAAGGTTGAAGAACCTTCCTAGTTGACTCTGCAAAATTCTCTCCCCACCCCGACCAACCAAGGAGGGGTGCTGGACCGGAGCCCTGCAAGACTGACTGAATTAGAATTTTTAGGGATGGGTCCAAAGAAGTGTTTTTCTTAAAAACAACCCTACTGCACCAGAGACTGAAACTCATTAGCTACTTTCTACACATTTATGGTAAATTACTTGCGTAATAGGTTCAGTGTAATGTTCCTGTCACAGCTAGATGCTTTGACAGTCATACCATTACCCAGCAAAGGACTATGCTAGCCAAATAAAATCACTTCAGAGGTTATTTTTTTTTTTAGATAAAAGCAATGATTACTATAATAACAAGAAACCAAAAAAACTAGTTAGTACATTTTTTTCTTAGAACAATCTGTGAAGAAGGGCTTTATTTGTGCAGCAATTTTAATATAATTTTCTACATAATGTGCTAACAAAAGAAAATTTTTTTTAAGTTTCCTAAATTCTGTGTGCTATGGGGTAAAATGTAGCTCTACTTACCCCTGTACTGCAATTAATAAAGACTCTAAGTGTAGTTTCAAAAATAATTTATTTCAGATCTACTTTCAGAATGATCAATTTGAAAAGGAGTAAGTCTTCTGCATTTATTGCAATAAGAAGACTATTTTAATTCCCAGACTCTTCAGCTGTTCTATTCTGTACATACCAGAGCTTCTAAAATCGATGTACATTTATTATTAGAAAAGTAGGTTCTTAACTGGTAATTTAAAAACTTAATTAAATGTGTATATTCCCCTCACCTATATATAGATAGTATATAATAGAATAGAATAGATTAGCTAAGAATCATGAATTTTGTCTTTCATATTTTCTTAGGCCCTTCAAGTAGATTTTTATGGAAGTAAATGTACAAAATAGGGCATAAATCATGCCTTATGCCTATTTTAAAATTTGTCTCCAATAGTACACATACTTTTCTTATAAAATAGGCCCACTTTATCAGACATTTTAAATTGCATATATTTAAGAAGGTGGAAAGCAGAAACTGTCTAAAAATTTCCTTCTGTGTAATCAGATGCTTTATGTTGCTGTTTTTAGGACAAACAAAAACTTGTGTACTTATCAGATTTGAAGCACTACCTAAAGTTTTTCTTCTTGTGTATTTTTTTAGGCTCTACAGTTTTTAATGTCCTTAGAGGATTTTTGGAGGTGGTCATTGGTGTGGCAGCTGGATCTCTTCTTGGATTTTTTATTCAGTACTTTCCAAGCAGTGACCAGGTAAAAGAAATAATCTGTGGGGAAGTTGTGCTCTAAAATACCATTGGAAAAACGTTCTAAGACGGTTTCCTCTAAGCTGGGTATAAAGGACATATTTGAGAAATTAGTCCCCCATTTTAAAATTGCTTGCTGTTTTATCAGTGCTGTTCGGGAGATGCATGAAGTTGGCTACATATAGAAGGTTTTAGTGCATTTCTGGAATTTTTCTGTTTTATATTCTGTACATTTCACATTTTGCTGCAAATCAAATGCCATCAATTTCAAAGTAATATGATATGCAGATTTTTTAAACTTCCATAATATCCAACTAAACCAAGATGTATAATGGCTTTTTTGGTCCCCCTTTATACCTTAGATTCTAACTGCGTGCAGAGGTGTCTGTAGTCTCAGTTACTCAGGAGGTTAAGGCAGGAGGATCTCTTGAGTCCAGGAGTTAGAGTCCATCCTGGGCAACATAGCAAGACCCCATCTCTAAACAAATAAATGAATGTGTATACATACACACACACACATATATATATATATATATGTTATCCTTTAGTGCCACTCTGTTCAGTACAACAGGAGCTAGCTACATGTGGTTGTAGCAGATACAGAACATACCCTCAGACAGAACAGATTCAGAATATTTCTGTTATTCTCACTTCAGCAGCACCTGCACTAAAATTTGAATACTTCTGTCGTCACTGAATATCTATTGGGAAGCTTTGCTCAAGTACAATCCACACAGTAGTCCATTAAGAGAGTACTACTAATATGACCACTTTATTGACGAGGAAATTGAGGCAGGATTAAGTGACTTGCACAAGGTCATAGCTAGAAAGCAGTAGAACTGAGAGTGAACTCAGGCAACATACCTCCAGAGCTCACATGTCTCCAAGTCAAGCACTTTTAAAGACCCATTTCTAAAGTAATCAAGAGGTTTAAAGGGCTGAACAGGAAAAAGCAATGGGAAAGAAGTTCACCCTTCTTCGACTTCACCTAATGTTCACAATGCAAAGGTACATTTCAAAACCACTAAGAGTATATTATAAATGTCTTACCACAAAAAAGAAGTGAGGTGGTGGTTATGTTAATCAGTTTGATTTAAGCATTCCACATTGTATATCAAATCACCACATTGTACCCTATAAATGTATGCAGTTATGATTTAATAAAAATTAAGTTAAAAAAACCAATAGGCAGAGCCTGTAGCTCAGTAGATAGAGTGCCGGCCACATACACCAAGGCTGGCGGGTTCGAACCTGGCCTGAGCCAGCTGTAACAACAATGACAACTGCAACAACAACAACAAAAAATAGCCAGGCGTTGTGGTGGGTGCCTGTAGTCCCAGCTACTTGGGAGGATGAGGCAAGAGAATTGCTTAAGCCCAAGAGTTTGAGGTTGAGATTGCTGTGAGCTATGATGCCACGGCACTCTACCGAGGGTATTCTGTCTCAAAAAAAAAAACAAAACTGCTCTAAGTCTGTAACCTCTTAAAGCTTTTTGGTATTCACAAATTTAGAAAGAAAAAAGCAAGGGAGCATTAAATTAAAGAGAGTAAACTGAGAGCCCAAAAATAATACTGATGTGAGATCTTTTTTTTTTTTTTTTTTTTTGGAGACAGAGTCTTACTATGATATGTTGCCCTTGGTAGAGTGCTGTGGTGTCACAGCTTACAGCAAATTCAAACTCTTGGCCTTAAGTGATTCTCTTGTCTCAGCCTCCCAAGTAATTGGGACTACAGGCGCCCACTACAATGCCTGACTATTTTTTGGTTGTAATTGGCCCTGGCTGGATTTGAACCTGCCAGCTCCTATGTATGTGGCTGGCACCCTGGCCACTGAGCTGTGATATGATATCTTTAACCATCACAAAAACTCTAGGATGAGTGTCAGGGATGAGGAAACAAAGCTTGGAAAGGTTAAGAAACATAGCCACGGTATACAGCAATAATGTAAAAAAAAAAAAAGCTATAATATTAAACTTCCTTTGTCTGAGTCCAAAGCTCATGTACTTTTTTTGCTATTATATTAAGTCCTGTGAAATTTTTCATTGACAACTACAGAGAAAGTGAATTGATGTTCCTAAAAGAGAAGGCTGTTTTGTACATGCACTAATTCTTCTTTTGTTTAGGAAAAGAAAGTAAATGTTACGTCATGCATTTATTTTTTCTTTTTACACAAAAACAGTTTTTTATTTTCCTCTAAACCCTAATTATATAGATTAAAAATCAATTATTTGGTCTGGGTGTGGTGGTTCACACCTGTAATCCTATCACTCTGGAAGGCTAAGATGGGCAGATTTTTTGAGCTCAGGAGCCTAAGCAAAGTGAGACCCAGTCTTTACTAAATATAGAAAAATCAGCCAAGCATTGTAGCAGGTGCCTGTAGTCCCAGCTACTCTGGAAGCTGAGACAAGAGGATGGCTTAAGCCCAAGAGTTTGAGGTTGCTGTAAACTCTGATGATGCCACAGTACTCTACTCAGGGTGACAGAATGAAACTCTGTCTCAAAATAAATAAATAAAAAATTTGAAATACTTAAACTAATCATTTTTTTCCTCCTATAGGACAAACTCATGTATAAGAGAGCATTTCTTGTTTTGGGGTTCTCTGTGCTAGCTGTGTTCAGCAGTGTGGATTTTGGTTTCCCTGGATCAGGAGGACTGTG